ATTCCTTTAATGTTCCAATTTTTTTTCCCTTCTTAAATATTGGTTTCAAAATAAATTTTTTCAACAACAGATAGTGCAATTATCTCATGATCGAACTCGGTCAAGATGGAATTTGGAATAATAACTTGAAAAACAATTGGATTCATTTAAACAATAATTTTTTTAGTTATCGTTGAAGAACGGTCGGTCAGATATGTATATGCACACACACGTACATATATGGGCCATTCCGCCAAATATCGTACGAGATCTGGCCTCAAAATTTTCTGTTTTTTTTTGGTTCTTCTCAATATTTATGTCGTATAGAAAAGAGGATTCCTCACCTAGCAGGAGACCACGTGGCTTAATTCAACGCACTCTCCGTGATTAAGCGTTTTAGACTCGAAATTCTTTGCTCTTATTTAACGTGTTAAAAAATGCTGAAAAAAAATTAAAAACATAGGTTTTGATCGGAAATTTTGTGAATTTTTCAAAAATGGTGGCCATTTTGTTCCTCCACTTCAACTTCATGGCGAAAATTGAAAAATAAAACTTCACACATTGATTTCAGCCTGTTCCGCATTTTCGTGTCTAAATCTGATGTTTTTCGGAAAATTCAGAAAATTTCCGATCGAAATCATCTTTGAAAAATGTGCGCTCATGTGCTGCATAGCCGGAAAGAAAATGAAAAAAAAAATACATCCAGGCGTGGTCTAAAAATAGCATATTCGAACTCCTGAAGCCAAACCTTATCCTGGCACAAAAATTGGAAACTTCGGGCTTGGCGAATACAATGCTTTCATTCGGAAGCAAAACCATCAACACACATGATGTAAAAGATTGTGACCGTCACGTGACCCTTCCACACCTCCATCTCGGGTCAAGGATCATGAGAGTGATTTAGACTGATTGATAATCTGCCATAAAATTGCTGCTTTTCAATCCTAGCAACCATGAACATCTAGTCGAGTTATTCTCACCTCGGATTCGATTTTAAATACGAATTCATTAAAAATTGTTTCGGAGTGAAAAAAAAATAGTTATCCACGTTCTCATCCCCTGTTCCACATACCCGACATGTGTTGCTTGTCTAAGCCGGGAGCATCGAACCACACCACCTTAACCCACTTTTGGACTTGTGGCGTTGTGTTGTGCCACTGCCGTAACGTCGATGCTCTCCTGGCCATTTACTTATTAATTTAGATTATGGCGTGCAAGAGCTAATTGCCAGGGTGATCCACAGGGGCAGTAAAATTTCAAGCACTTGGATTTCACGAAAATTGTCTCATCAATTCTGTAACCTGTACAGACCTGACCCGAGCAATATTCGATTTCATTGCAGTCATATTGTGAAGTTATGATACATTTTGCATTAATATTCGTCAATTGAGCCCATTAAATTTGTAAGGGATGCTGCTAGAGCATCCAGACCCTGGAAAAAGTGGCTTAGAACTCCCGTTTCCTTCAGTTGAATCAACTGGTTAACGGCCATCCCGATGTACCTCCTGTTCCCCTAATAATATGATACAGTTTATTGGACTTCTTCAGATTGAAATGCGGCGTCAACGACACTTGTTGCTACAGTGTTTATGAAATACGATTGCCCAGAAATAATTATGATGCGATAAGGAAAAAATTGAGCGCATGCGCGCGTACAGAACCAATGGCCGATATGTGATATTGAATGCCATGCGCTGTGACAACCGACGACCGCCTGAATTTTTATACCACACTGGTAATGTGACTATGCTCGGCTACTGAACAAACAGGTGGCGAGTGTAACAGTTGGTATGTGCTTGCCATGTATGGTAGCCGCCCGAAAGTGGCGATGCGGAAAAAAGTGGCCTAAAAACCACAGTCCAACTGTAATCATTTACGTTTCTGCTCAGTTCTGTTCGCCTGGTAGAGCACTGTCAGACGAACTCATTTTTTCTCGGGTAGTAACGTTAAATTATTGTTGGACCCGCCTTATGCGGGTCGGCGTAACTTTTTTAGGAATGGAGAACTGTTCAGAATGGAAATCGTTACACTAGAGCGAATTTCGCATGCAAAACTTTGCACTGACGCTGGAAACCTGATGTAGTCATTTCAACGGCGTGTTGTGTCTTGCAATAAACTGTAAAAAATTATATTTGATAATATTAATTTTTTTTTGATCGAAAAACAGGTACCAATTGGGAAAATCAACATTTCATTTCATTTCTGTGCGAAAAATCCGAAACAATATTGAGGGTTTGTGAGAATTCTTTATTTTTTATTGCAGTTTTTTTGAGAATATCGAATATGAACGCTTGTATAGTCCGCTGATGTGAAGGAATGTGGGTGCCCATTACCGACCGGTTCCACATCCGGTTAAATCCACTGGATCCTACTCCCCTATTCAAAAAATAACCAGAATATCGATTTTTCCGATCGAGAAATAGCGTTCCAACTACTACGTCACCGCGCATACTGGCCTGGTCCTCACTATTCGGTTGATTTACATATCCCTGAGGAAGCTGCAGATCCCACTCATTGTAAATAGCATCTCCCAAAAATCTACATCTCGAAAGAGAAAAATCTGAGTCATGAAAACTCGATGAAAACACGTTCTCCAATGATAATGTTAACACCAAAAATATTCATATAATGTTGCTTCACATGTTATACATGCAATAAACATATGTTCTCGCGGTTTCAATGATTCTCCACACCACATGTTCGCCTGTCTCGAGAACTAACAGATTTCAGACCCTAAACCACAAATGGCTGCCCTTCTCTTTCCCTGGAAAAAATGAGCGGACAGTCCCGTGTGGTCAGTCTGCGGCGGGGAAATATAATCATTTCATGGTGCCCTAATACCGGTCCAAACAAAAACACCGACCACGATTCTCAGTCGATTTTTTAAATATCGACTAGCGTCACTACACCCCATGTTGATGCCCTTTCACTATACTCTTTTTCCTGTCAGATACGATTTTCTTTTCTTCAATTAATTGTTTATAATCATTCTCGCTGCTAAAAGCAATATAACCGATGAGAATCACATGTTCCAATTTATTAGCTGTTAAAATTTACCACTGTAGTATTAAATGATTTGCTCATGTTCGAATTCCTATGCTCACTGAATAAGATTTTAATCATATAATTACTACTTAATTTCTTTTAGAACACACTTTAGAGTGTGAATTTATGAAATTCAATGTCCGTTGATATTCTGGTAAAAGTGCGTGTCTACACTGTTATCAATTTTTAGTTTGTTCACACGGTAATTCAATTTGTTGTTCAATTTGTTGTTCATCTCATCAATATAATACCATGTTTATCATCGCCACTAGGAAAGAATGGTCTTCGATCTGAGTGTTGTATGCATTTGAGAAAGATATTTGCAACAAAACTTTTTCTATCGTTTTTCACGGGGGCCGCCTCCGTAAGTTTAAGGCTCACTAATTAAACAAAAATCAGGCCCGTTCGCGCGCTCCCTCTTTAGGGTATGACCGGTAGGGGTTGGTGGAATTGGATGTGACCCATTACGGGTCGCACCAATAACTTCCCGACCATTTGTTTTTTCTTTCATTAATTTTTTTATTATGTATTTATTCAATCTTTTTCTCACATTTCTCCGAGGAAATACCCATAGAAGACAAGAAAATCCGTGCGCGTGCTCGCACTCACACACACTCCCATGCACACACATCGCTGTATTCCGCATCGAGAAAAGCTGTAATTTATCAGAAAAGTAAATTTGTTTCTTGAATGTATATCGATTTCGAAAAAAGCTAGTGAACTGCTGATTAAATGTCTTCCAGTATTCCATGATTTGTGCGTTATATCAAGATTCATCGTTTCTAACAAAAAAAACTTGAAATCGCATCGTTATGCACGGAGAAATGGTCTCGTTTACAAAAAAACGCTAATTTTCGACTTTTTTCCAAATGTTTTTTGGAAAAAACTGGAGAAACGCTGAGACGATCGTCTCCATAATCTAATCAGGTTCAAGTCACATGAAAATACAGCGATTAAAAAAAAAAAGTCAAATCGCATCGTTTGTTCAGGAGGAATCGTGGCACAAAATTTTTGTCACACACGTACGCACACACATACACACATCATTTTTGCTATATTGCGTTCAGATTCTCCTATCTTTAATGTAAAAAATGTGAGATAATCTTATAATTTTAGTTATCAATTCTAATCAACCTTGTTCGACGAATCTTAGTAAACGTAATATTAAGAAAGCAGAATTATTCCATTTTCCTTTCACCTAAATGACTTGACCATCATGATTAGTTTATTAATCTTTCATAAAATGATATTCAATTCTCAGTTGTTTGTTGGGTGGACTTCATGAAAATTCGACACAAGACCATTGCACTCATGAAAACCGGCTTACTTTCTCCATTCGTTCGAAATATCCGCCATGTCTAATCGAGATACGCGGTATTGCGTATCGGCCAAGAAAAAGTTTTGACATCAATTGTTCAACATCTCAGGCCGAGCGCACCGCGTATCTATGCACGACAGAACTTTCCCCTCCACTACCACTAAATGATTTTCATTCGGTATAATAAGAACAGGACGACAAATCGGAAAAGTGTCCTCAGTTACAATATAAATCGCCTATGAACTTGTCAACGGTGTAACTATTGTATTTTTTGGATGACCAGTAAAAAAAGATACGCGCATACTAACAGATTGATATTCGCATTCTCGCGATACACATTATAAAGTCGGAGAATCAAGTTACAATATTGGCAGCGCCGATCCAACTGAGCCTCGCATTCAAACTCGAAGTGTTGTCACCAGTGCGTTCAAACGTGGGTTGTCATGTTGTTATGGAGAACCACGAGAAACATTTTTTCTCACTTGAAATCATTTAATAGAGTAAAAGGAAAAATCAAATCTGTGTTCTATTTTTTTTTCTCTCGCCGAAAATGCGAATTTCTTCTCGTTTCTCATTTTCGATTCGAGATATGGCCCATGCTTTTTTTTTTTTTAGAAAGGATGAGGATTGATGATGAGAATGATTAATGATGTTTCAGGGAATCAATTGACAGTATTCAACGGCCAATCAACAATCCAAGTTGGAGGGCGATGGAACAAGAACAAGGGCAGAGTCGAGCGTCCATTCCTGGGGATTATCTCAGGATTAGTGGTAAATGGAGCTAGGATACTTGAATTAGCAGCTGCCAGTCAGGATAGAGTTGTAATTACTATCCGGGGAGATGTACAGCCATTACCACCTGGCAGTTTATTAGATAGGACAGCACCACTTCAACGCATGCAGCAGGTGAAGAGAAACTCCACCATTTCTGTTCTTTTATTCTTATCGGTGATGGAGAGGTAATGGGTGATTGTTTTTTTTCCAGACACCCGCATCCGGTCTGCCTGGCATCATGGATGATCTTATATTTTCGGGAGCGGGAAGTGGATGCGCAGGTGATGATGAGGATGAAGATTGCACGCCAATTTATGATCCAAATTCAGGTAATTGGCGTGAGATAATTAACAAACTCCATCCGTTCATACTTTTTATTTTCATTCACCACTAGAGTTGTGCAAAAAATTTGTCACGCGTCAGACGACAGATGCAAATACGACAATTTTTGTCACATCGCCAAATGCCATTATCGCCTGGCCGTTAGGCGGTTAGAGAAAAGTTGAAATTTCGAGAACAATCTGACATTAATTGTCAGAAGAGCGACATTGAATTTGATTTAGGTGGGAAAAAAATCATGAAATTTCGAACTTGACAGAAAATTTCATTTGCAATTTGAAATTTTCGAGTAGTAGGAAAACAAGAATTCAGTAATTTAGTTAAATTTTCAATCAATCATGAATATTTAATACCAAATTATGCCGCATTTTCAATTAATGGAGAATTCAGGAATATAATTACCAGAATTTTTCTGATATCCACTAGTTTTCATGGAACTATTGAACTGAAATTCACAGTTTTCATTTAATTTTTTATCAAATTGGGAATTTTTAACGGTAAAATTGCTCAAAATTTCAGAGTAATTATAACTTGATAAAAATTTTCAACAAGTGTACCGGGAATTTCTGCCAAGTTTGAATAACAGTGTTTCGTCGTGGACCGAATATCCGTCTTCATTTGACCCTTAAGACCGTTTGACCCTTCAAATATTCTGTCAGTCTCTCTTGCTCTCTTATTTTATGGGATAAATTCTAACTGAGAGAAAAACAAACAAGTTCTCAAACGAATCGTGTTTGGGCCAACAAAATCGCTAGTTGAAAATGACCGAAAAAGAAATTGTTTAATTCGAATTTCAAAGTCTCAAACATGCATAATTACTCTGCTTTCGACAACAACGAAATAATTGGCTCAAGAGGCGGATGATTCACACAAGACTGATGGGCCTTTTCAGGGTAAAAATACCTCATAGAGAGGAAAGTTTATCAAGAAATATTTTGTCCCTAAGTTACAAAATTGCTAACATATCATTATTATTATTTCATTAAGCATTCATTTCATATCTTAAATTATTTAATAGTCAAAATAAAAAACTGTAATAGTAAAACTCTTGTTTCGCATAAAACGAATATTTTTCGTTGCGTATTAATGCTAGAAATAACATTTTTTGCTTGCACAGAGAATACAATTTTTTTGGAATTACTAAATCTTTTTTCGCGATAAAAATTTTTCATCTCGGCGCACTCTTTTCATATTTGGTACAGAGAAATCCTTGTTTGATAATTTTTCAAAAACTATTTTTTTGGCACAAGTAAGACTTGTTTGAGAACTCTGTCATTTTTCTCTCAGTATATATGTGAAATTTTATCTTTGGATATTAATATTATTTGTTCAAAGGGAAAAATCGATCATCATTTTCACTATATTGCATTCAAATTATCTTCTTAACATAAAAAATGTGCAATAATCTCATAATTCGAGATCTTACTTCTAATGAACTTTGTCCAAAGCAGACCTTAGTAAACGCAATATTAAGAAAGGAGAATTATTATATTTTCCTCTGACCTCAATGATTTGGACAATTATGATTCGTTATATTCATGTTCATGTTTCATAGAATGGGATTTAATTCTCTTTTATTTGTTAGGCGGGCTTCATGAAAATTCGATGCAAAACCATTGTACTCATGAAAACTGCCTTACTTTCTCCATTCGCTCAAGATATCCACCATGTTCGAGTTTTGAGTTTCGATTCGACATAGTGCCTATGCTTTCGTTTTACAACGGATGAATTCCTGCTTTACCGACTGACTCTTGCCATCCCATTTAAAAAAAAAATGTTAGATCTGGATACGAGAATGAACTGTAAATTTGAACGATAGACATTGATGAATTTTAGAATTTATTTCAGTCCAATCGGTAGAGTACATTCCAAATTACATACGAAAATATAGTTTCTCGCATGTGGTTCTTTTGCACACCAGTTCGTATATAACAATACACCGCGCTAAATCTATTTGTGTAGTATGAAAGGAGAGACGTTTAGCACTCCCCTAGACAAGGACGGAATACACATATAAATGGTAAGGCACTGTCGCCTTTGGCGACGCTTACCACCATTTTTTTCCATTATCAACCTTCCCGAAAATGAATGATTCGACGTAGCCTATATGCCGTACTCCCTTCCAGTGGATATGAAGTTGCGGCAAGACATTATGATCGAGACTTATAGGGTGCGTTTCGCAATCGAGGTAGTCGCAGTAATAGTACTGTAACCCTGTCCAATTTTGCTTGACTGCAGCTACGGTAGTTGATTCCGAAACGCACTCATATTTTCGGGGCTGAGAAATCCTGATTTTTTTGTGTTTCTGCGATTCCAGTGGGCAATAATTAGTTATAAACAAATTTATCTCAATTTCTCATGAAAAATTGATTGTTCAAGCAGACGATGAGACATACTCAAAAATGTTTCAGATGAAAGTTGTTCGTCTTTCTCGTACAAACAAAACGGTTTTTGGTTTATCAAAAACGATCCAGTGGTTCGTCCGCTATCCGCTAATCAGTGTGCGTTTTTTATGAATAAATGATTTTTCACGAAAACTATAAGAGATACAGAAAAAAGTTTCGGATGAAAGTTGTTCGTCTTCATCATACAAACTAAACGGTTTTTGATTTATTAAAATCGACCCACTGGTAGCTTATGAAAATGATTTCATGAAAAATAATTTGTTTATTCAATTCAAAAAATATAATTTCGGTCATAAATGAAATGAACAGTAGAATTGAACGATAGAAATGGATGAATTTTGAAATTTAATGTAGTCCAATCGGTGGAGTAGATTTCAAGTTACTTACGAAAATGTAGTTTCTCGCATGTGGTTCTTTTGCACACCAGTCGGTATATAAGAACACCCCGCGCTAAATCTTGTTGTGTAGTATGAAAGGAGAGACGTTTAGCACTCCCCTAGACAAGGACGGAATACACATAAATGTTAAGGCACTGTCGCCTTTGGTGACGCTTACCACCATTTTTTCCATTATAAATCCCTCAAACACGAACAATTCTACACAAATTCACTTTGCTTCTAAAAAAAAATCATTGTAGTCGTAAGATTCATAAGATTTCATCCCCTTATAATTATTAATACACAATAATAATCCGATAAAATTGTTCAGTTTGAATTCTTTGCTATTTTTTCATGGATTCTATGGAAATGTGAGGATAAGAATTGAATTTATGGGTATTGGTTCATTATTCGAAAAAATTTATCAATTTTAAAATTTTCTCTAAACATTGAAAAATTAAAAATTCTGTTTTCTTGTTGATCTTGTTTCTCTTCCTCTTTTCCCTTTCTTCTATCAGAATTAGATAATAGAAAGGAAATACATTGGTTTTTCTTCATTATTAAAAAAAAACATTTTGAAATTTTCAAGATTGAAAAATCGATTTTTAAAATTTATTTCTGATTTTCCTTCCCTACATTTTCCGTACTTCCTGTTTCTGTGAACGGAATACGATCACAGAAATTAAAAATGTTAATCTTCCTTCATTTTTTAAGGAGAAAAAAACCATTCGAAAAATTTCGAAGACATACAAAAATAGATTTTTTCATTTTATTGATACTGATTGATGATGATTCCATTGAAATGAGATCAAAGGGATGTAAAATGTTCATATTCGTTCACATTCTCAGATCATTGGTACTAATTAATTTAAAGAAAAAGAAAGAAATGAAAAATTTTAACTACGATTATCGAAAATTGTTTGTCGATGTGTATTCTTACGTGATTTATGAGGAATTTCTTTTCATTCAATGTTGTAACTTGTGAATTAAGGAACAAAAATATATATAATAACAATTAGGATGATTAAAATCACAGTAATTTAATTGTGAAGATGGAAATGGAAAGAAAATAAAATAACATAGTATTCAATTCTATCAATTTAATACAAAAGTAACTATTCTCGAATAATTTCTAAGAAATTGTGGGTAAAAACGAAAAAGACATTTTGTTTAGCGAAGAAATTCTCCACAATTTTTTTGAACAATGCTATCTTCAATAATATTGTTTCATAACATTGATCATATTATTCCATCGAAATAAAATATAAAATACGTCAAATTCAAAATACTAAATAAGCCCTCCTGAATAACTATCTACTTCTGCGGAATGGCCGTGCCACCTTCACCCACTCCTGCGTTCCCAGTTATATCTTCAATTCATTTGCATATTTAGGGATCTCTCACACTAAAGATAAACTTGCCGTTAGCTCCCCCAATCCTCTCCCTACACGCCAGCCACCTCTCAGCAAGTTCTGCCTGCCTGATGGAAAATCTTCTCTGGCCGACTAAAAACTGAATTAATGGCAGTTGTCTCTATCAGAATGCAAACAAAAGTATCTCTATATCTTTCATGAAAGCCTCCATTCATCATGGCCTCCAACAATAGTTCAAAGGGTAAATCGAATTCATACCGATGGACGGAATTACCGATGCAATTGGATATTTTATTTAGGTCTGGATGGATCAATACATTCGCTTTCAGTCGAAAATATCATCACTCGTGTGCGAATCATTCGACAAATGTGTGCTTCGAGACTCCCAACCCCGCGAGACAAATTTCCGCGCTTCCGACAAAAAATAATCGTCAATCAACTCTTCATTAACTCCTCATCATAATCAATGGCGCTTTTCAAAATTTTCAATATTTAATCGATGTGAATGATTCTTTAGATGACTTGATAACTCCAGTATACGTCGCGCCCACGAGATTGCCACCAACAGTAAAACCAAAAAAAGAAAACATCCAGGAACGTCCATCCTGCGACGACGAGGAAGACTGTGAAGAGGGCTCAGGCGATCCTGGCACCACAGAAGAAGTAATCGTAACTTCCGTCACTGGTAAGTTATACTTTTATCCCTTCAGAGACGCAAATTTAAACGCTCGATAACACGTGGAATACTTTCCCCCTGGTTTCCAACTTGCCAACTTCAAATATTGATCCCTCTCGAAGAGTTTACCCTTGCAACTGGTTGAATAATTAGAAAAACTGTTTGTTCCTGCATCGTTCGATTTCCAAATGTTTGTGTAATTCTGAAGTGAATTTCTTTGACACTATTTACTAAGGTGGAAATCATATCGAAAGCCCTATTTTTAGCGCAAATTAGTGGTAGCAGGAGCGGTAAAGCCTGGACAATAAAATTAAAGTGTCTGGGGAGTTTGATTTTGCCGTTGTTTACGATGAAAAATAACTTATGAATCGTGATGCCTTTTGATACGTCCCTGCTATCACCTACGCACGCGTGTATTTCCCTTGTTACTTCACTGCCAACATGAGAAAAACCAATTTAGATATTAAAGAGATGATGGTAACTATAAACCCTCCATTAGATGTAGTTTTACTTTTTTTCTTGTTGGATATTGGTTTCGGTTAATTAACATTTGTATGCGTAGATTCGAGCTCGGTGACGTACACAACGCAGCGTGAACCCTCTACAAGCCATACAAGCACACAGGCATCAACAGGGTCAATTTCAGTGTCTCGTGGTACGGTATCCACGACATTTACACAGTACAATGCGTCCAGTGCGGATACTGAGGCTACGCACAGCAGGTATGTTATGGTATCTTTTTTTATGATAAAATTGGGGGACTTTTTTAGAGGTGATCGTGGATACTGCTAGGAGAGATCCTGCATCTGAACGTTTTTGATATCATTTTTATTATTTTTTTTTATGGAGAAGGGGTTTTAGTGGTCAGTGTTGGGATACTGGTGTATTTCGAAATATGGCAGCTGGTAAACTTGAAGATTTTTACGAGAGGGCAATTGCTCTTTATTGTAACTTGGTGCAGTAATTTTTGCTAATATATCTGCAGTTTGCTTCAGAAAGGATATTTGTACCTAGATCAGGATCCTCAGGGATTTAGGATGCTTATGTCTCATTATATTTGTTATCTTTATGGTTTATCCTTATTTCACACTCTTATTTCTGACCCAAGATCAGTTAGGGAAGAGAGGGGTAAAATGAAACTGCCGAAAAAAGACTGACGCAATTCAAGTAAAAAAAATTTTTTCATCAACTTCTTTTATTATTGGGAGTACTGATGAGAATCATAATTTTCTATTCGTCTTATAATTCAATAGATTATGATTCAATTGATTAGATTAGGCCGATTGCACTTTTCTTTTTTCATTCGATTGAAATTCAGCATCACATTTTCCTTTTTTCCCCTGTGGATCTCTCCCAGGGCCTTGCTGTTATGCCACAGATTTGGTTAATTGCGTTATTGTGTAATATGTGGACATACAGCATTGTCAGCGTGACACTTGCCAGCGTAACTGGATTATGCTGACCAAGTGATGAAATGTAAACAATCAATGGATTGTTTAAGAAACGGTTGAGTCTGCACAGATCAGATCTGAATTGGACGCACGTATAAAAAATCGTAATAGAAACATTTCGTATAGAGTTGCGCCATTTCTCTACGTTTTTCTCTGGAGCGTTTAGACATCTTTCGTATCAAACCAAAAATTTGTGTCAAAATTTATGTATAGAAATAATTTGTATAGAAATATTCGTATATCACATACGGAAATCTTATAGGATTTGTATACGCAATCCGTATTGAAAATTTCTATACGATTTTTTCATACGTGCTCCGACGCGTAGAAAAGTAGTAAACTCTTGGTAATCAGTCAGATGACACAGTAATTATAATCAAGTAATAAATTCTCATATTTAAATTCCGATAAACTATTGGTGGGATTTATCCCTTCAAGCCTAGAACCTACTATAATTATAAGTACCCTCCACGCTGGGTACAACATTGCTCTGGACTTTGGATTTTGCTGTTTCATTTTTTTTTCAATGAATTCATTGACAAAATCTTCTACCGTCAAAACTTCTTAATTCTACTGAACGAAAAATTATTATTCTCATCATTACGCCCAAGAATAAAAGAAAATTAATAGCATTTTTTTTTGCTTGAATCGCGTCAGTCGTTTTTCGACTGTTTTATTTTGCCCCAGTCTTCTCTGTCCTAATACAAAAAACTGGAAACTTGGATTTTGAAGATTACAATGCATCCATATCGACACTTCCTAATAAAACAAGGGTATTTCATTTTCATTTTTAAAACGAAGATATTTCAGAATGTTTAAACGATCAAAGGTATCTCAGAATTTCCTATAAAACTGATCTGAATTTTCCGGAGAAAACTCGTCTAACTCAAATGAAATCAGAAAAAAACTATTTCGTGAACGCCGATTAAATAGTGTTTAAGCGATTTAGTCGACATATTGTCAATTTATAATACGTTGAGAGATTCATGCTAGAGAATTAATAAAATGAATGGGAGGGACGAGGGGAGTGATCGCATCAAGGATTCTGCGGGAGAACTCAGTTGGCAGATCATCAATCCAGAGTTCACTAGGAAAATTAAAATTATCTCCTGAAACGAGTGTAGTGGAGTTTTAGAACGGATTTATATAGAATTCTGATTCGGAATCAAAATACGGATACAGGGGAAAGAAAGTGAGACAGCGAGAGTACACGTGTGAAAAAATTCAATAGAAAAGCTAGCGAATTCACAAGACAATTTTATTGGAATTCTATTGAAAAATTCTATTTGTTTTTTGCGCTGATTCTATTGAATATTTGATTGGAAAAAGTCAATATGTTTTGAATTTCTGTTCGAATTTTTCTATTGAGATTTTTTCTACTAGAATTATTGGGCACAAATTTTCTAAGGTTTTTCCGCTGGATTTTGTTTTGTTTTGTATTACAGAATCCGAGTGGAAAAAAAGTAGAAAATTGATGCCCATGCATTCTTATAGAAATAATCTCAAGAAAAAAACTCAATTAGAAATTCGGAATCTATTGACTTTTTCTTATCGAGCATCCAATAGAATCAGCGCAAAAAATAAATAGAATTTTCCAGTAGAATTCCGATAGAAATCCTATAGAAACCCAATAGAATTCCTATAAAATTCCAATAGAATTTCCTAGCTAAATCGCTAGGTTTCCTTTTGAATTTTTTCAAACGTGCATAATAAAATAATAAAGAGTAAATAATGAATAAATAAATACTAAATGTCCTCCCACTCATGTTCCAGCACAACTGTAACGCAGCGTACGACAAGTGCAACAACCCACACAACAACAACAAGAATGACGGATCCACCACCGCCACCCTACCACCCGGAAATCTACACCCCAGGACCCCCAATAAAGAAGTATCCACCAACAGTGCCGAGTATCCACACAGAAGCAGCAAAGCACACAGCCCTAATAATCGTCATAATAGCCGGTGCATTGATAGCAATAATTCTAATAATCCTCCTAATCCTAAAATTCAAAAATCGTCCGGATACCCACTACAAAGTTGACGAAACCAAGAACTTCTGTCAAGATCCAAACGCAGCGCTCCTGGGTGCTGCTGGTTCAGATCAGCAGTACAATGGTGCCTTGAAAGCCGGAACAAATGGAAGTAAAAACGGTAAAAAACGTGAAATGAAGGACATCAAAGAGTGGTATGTCTAAAGTATTAATTATGACCGAGATCGCTAATGGACGGGCGATCAAAATCCAACGAGATTAATCAGGAAAATAGCACACGTATTAAAATGTAGAATTATTTAGTGGAGCTTTTCGAAGTGGATCGTCCGCCGTCCATTAGGAAACAAAATATCGAGTTGATAAAGCAAGCCAAGACTGACTGTGTTAAAAAAAAAGTACGTGAATTCCCAAGAATAACAGGGAGAAAAATCGATATGAATACGTGGAATTTTTATTTCGAGCGAGAGTTGTGCGAGTGATTGTATTTATCATTTGAAAGCGATGAAGATTAATAGGTATATATAAAATCCGAGGGATTAATATGTCAACCCACTTGAATTGTTTGCTGAAAGCAATAGTGCGAATCCATGATGATGATGGTTGAACGAAAGTAAATAATTAGCGTATGCGTTTACTAATTTAAGTGACTATGCTAATAACTTATTGTTGTATAGAAAAAATATAAATATATATAAATGATTATAACTTATGTTATATGTGTAAATTGTTTATTAAATTCATAGGAAATTTATTATTGAGGTGTGGAGGGATAAGTAAGAGATTTGCACAGATTGCACTGACGAAGGGAGACAACTTGAATTTTGAGAATTTTGTCGAAATTTTTGGAGGGGCGAGGCACATGAATTGATTGGGGTATTGAATTTTTTTTTATCTTTGTTTGTGTTTGGGGGGATTAGAGATTATTTCGGCGTGTAACAAATGCTTGAGACATACACACACAGGGTTTGGAACACAGTATTGCCAATAATTAGTTAATAACGTGTTGATAGGTGAATGAAATTACTCATTTTGTCAATGATAGGCACTGATACTACGACGAAATTTAGATGAATTGGGTTGTAGATCTATTTATTCATGAAGAAGTTGATTTTACAATTACTAAATCTGTAATTATCTTGGATGACGAGTGGTTCCAGGGGAAAATGTCATAAGATATTCCTTCAAAAAACCTCTCATATTCAAGATAATTGCAGCTGTAAGAAATCGTTGAAATTGGTGTTTTATGGCTCTAGGGATAATTTAATTTGAAACAAAAAATCAGACGTGAATTAACTTTTTTTTAGATATTTCTAACATTATTATCAGTTATTGTGGCTAATGTTCGAATGAATGAGTGTCAAATTTTCGTTGAAACAATCTACGATAAATAGTAAAAATTTTGATTGCGGTGATGATTGCTCATGAGAGTGAAATCAAAGGGCAGTTACCGCTAAGTGGAGTTCTAATTTATTTAAAATAAAGAAAAAAACAGGTGCTACATTTTTCTCTAAAACTTTTCGCGACTACTTATTCATTTTTCATCGTACTCTACATTTCAAAGAACAATTTCATTGAGATTATCTCTTCTCAAACATTTCTTCGAATTTCATAATTTAAAAGAATTCAAAATGGGATTAACTATTTACACTCGTTCTAAAGAACTGCACTTAGAATTTTTATCGATATAAATATCTGTAAAAAGTATATTTGCTATGAACACACATATCCCACATTTTTTTGTGAAGTTGTGCTTAGGGGAGATCATTCGGAGGAATCTCTGCAAGAAGTCTTCTCAAAGTGTTCTATGAGGGCTCCAATATCTAAAAAAAACTCGAAAGGAATAGATGAATTATGAAAAACAATTTTAAAGTGCCGACTATTTAAATATCCCCAAATTGATTGAGGATTTCCAGGGAAGTTGCTCTCTGCAGTGAAAAATAACATTTTTGAATTTTTTTACTGCAAAAATTTACACCCAAAGTCGATCGGGTTAATAAACATGATCTAATCAATTATTTGCATTTAAAAAAATCCCCAAAAATATAATTGTAGAGAGAATCCCCCCTCGACGTCTCCAAGTAAATATTAAAAGTCAATGAGTTTATCATTTCTAAATGCACGCGAAATAATTCACAAAATTTTCTCAAATCAATGTCAACATTTGCGTAATTACGTGGCTAACTTATTGAGGAAAAAAAATATAATGTAGGGCAGTTTCAACGATATCGTTGAATAGTGGAATTTGACGTAGCAAAACCCAAAATAAACATATAAGAATTGCAAATAAAAACGAATATTTACGCATATCGTTTACACTGCCCCCTACCTCTTATCAGCATATCCTTCAATGTACTGAATGAACTAATGTTTATACTTAAGCTATTTAATTAACACTTCTATACCAAAAGTTAATCTACAAGCGAAATTAAATAAGGGAATATTTTAAAAAAAGTGAATGCAAAAAAAATCCAAAAAAATTGTTACTCTCAACTTAATAAATTTCAATTGTAATTGAGTGTATCATGGACCGAAAGAACAGAGAAAAATAGTGAACGAAAAGTGTCATGAGAAAATAATAAAATCATACAGCTCAGGCGTATAATCTAGATTTGCTGTAGCTAGAACGGGAATTATATTTTACAATTGTACAGTCTCCAATTAAAAGGATCATGCGATACACTTAATTAGATAGAGATGATATTCGTAAACCACTCGTATGATGTTAGTCCAACAGCAATTATAAATATCAAGTTAATGCGAATTAAAAACAAAAAGTCTAAAAGAATTGAATAGACATTGAAGGGATCTTGCGCAAATATTTTAGTCGCTTGCTCACACAAAGAGGGGAATCACAATAAATTAGGTTTTTGCATCTAACAGGGAATCTTGGAAAAGAACCATTGTTCAAGGTAGAAAAAACTGAAGAGTGGAACATGGTGGAACTATTCTCTTCTCGATATAATTTGCGATATTTCGAGTAATTGATAAATAAAAAATGGGGAAAAATTCACGTGACTTGAAAAACTCGGCGATTACTATGACGTCGTGTTGCAGATAGCGTGGTTCGTTTGAAGAAGTGTTGATTATGCGAGTGAGAAAAGATTAGAGATTGAGTTTCGACCAGGTCGCAGAATTTATTCCGCAGGTGCATTCCGTCGCGATGACCAAATTTTTCAGCAAAAATTATGAATTGTTTACATCGACGATCGCCATGTTTTCAGACCATCTGCGTTATGAAGTCACACACCGGAGATGTTGTTGCTAGTCTTGTTTTATGGTGTTGAAAAAAAATACATTTCCAAGTATATTTTTCAATGAAAAATAATTTTTTTTTTATTTCAAAAAATATAAAGTTATCTTTCTAAAATCGTAAAAACTCGCCAGATATGTAAGAATTAGTTTTCGTGAGATAGAAATTTCTAGAAAAAACGAACGAGGCACACTGAAGCCGTTGTTTGTGATATTGTGAGTAGTTTATGAATAAAACATTTCTAAATGTTTAGAAAAAATCACGTGACTTTTAAATGCTCTACAGTTATTGTGACATCGTAACGCAGATTGAGTGGTTCCTTTGAAGAAATATCGGTTGTGAAAGCAAGAGAAACTTTAGGAAAGATTAGGTTTCGATCAAATGCCGAATTTATTCGGACTTTGTCTGATAATTGACTAAGAATCAATACCTTCATGATGACGAAGTTTTTCGCAAAAAATTATAAATCGTTCACAGCGGCGATTGCCATATTTTGAGATCGTCTGCGTTATGAAATCCCACACGCGAGATGTCGCGTCTGGTTATGTTTCGTGACTTCGAAAGAAAGTAAATTTTCAATTACATTTTTCAATGGAAAACATGTATTTTTTTATTGAAAAAAATAGCAGGTTATGTTCCGAAAATACTACACTTTCTACGATATAATTTATCATATTGCGAGTGATCCATAAATAACAAATTTTTTTTTTATCGTTATTTTACATCGCTTCGACCCGGTTAAGGTATACTGCGATGATGATCAAGACTTTAAATGGATCGCACCATTCAACCCGGCCGGAATTTGAACTCGGAACCTTTCGCATGTGAGGCAATGAACTTACCCACTGCGCCAAGCCACCAGGGAATAATAAAAATAAAAAAATATGGAAAAAGTCGCGTGACTTGAAACGCTCTGCAGTGTTTTGACTTGTAACGTCGTTCGGCAGATTGAGTGGTTCGTTTGAAGAAGTGTTAGATTATGTTTCGACCAGATCTAGAATTTATTTCAACTCTGTCGGATAATCGACTAAGAATTAAGTCCTTAAAGATAACAGAGTTCTTCGCAAAAGATGATAATTTGTTCGCCCTGGCGATCGCCATGTTTGAGACCGTCTGCGTTATGAAGTCACACACGTAAGATGTCGCTTCCAGTCCTTCCTTGCGGTTTACAAAGAAAGTCAATTTGCAATTACATTTATCAAAGGAAAATTTATGCATTACTCATTGAAAAAGGCTTTGATGGTTTCTAAGATGCTACACCTGCGTAAGGTGAAGGAATCTGTTCTCATGCAAAAACCCAATTAAAATAACCCTTATCGGGAAGCTAAAAAGACGATCAAATAATAGCGTTCATTTGCGCAATCGATAAAAGTATTTTCTGCGAAATCGACAACAGCTTTTCATTGATGAATTGAATCACAAAAAATGTAATGTGTAAACATACGTTAGTGTGTGGTGCATTTAGATTTTTTACACTTAAAAATTATGATAAAATGGACAAAGACCTCTCTTTAACGGCGTTCGTTGTGATGTTATTGATGCATCATTATTGTCGAAATTGAGGGATTGAGGGGACGTTTGACGATGCAAATGAGGATAATTGGTTTCAGCTTAGAGAAAGTCGATGCGGAATGCAAAAAAATAGAAAGTATTCCACGAAATTGTTTCAAGAGGTGATTTATCATTTAGGCAACGCATGATTAATGAATTTTGTGTTAATCCTTTGCCAAAAAGAACGGAGAGAGATGTTCATACATCTTATGTTGCAGGAAATTATTTATCACGCACATTGCACGCATGGGCTGTTACTGAGAGTAATACATTGATAAAATACGTCAAAACAAAAGCGATTCTGCGAGTGATAAAATGGAAATGTAGGTTTGCATTAAAATGATCCAGATAATGGAAAAAAACATGTAAATAAATTAGTGATACTGATAATTATTAAATAAAAAATGAGAAAAAAAGTAGACAATTTCTTTATTTTTCCCTTCATCGAAAAAAATATACACACCGACGTCGGTGGCCGAGTGGATTAGACGCAAGTCTAGTGTGCGAAAGGTTGTGAGTTCGATTCCCCGTAGAACCGAATTTTTCAACGGAAGGCTCCGGCGAGCGGGAGGTTGCTAATAGAGGAACCGCCTGTACCGACATGGGTTTTCTGTGGTTTCTCCATGCTACTTCTATGTTCTATAGGAGTGCGAATGCGGTACAGTGTAGAATCCACAGCCGCATGCACAGGGTTGGATAGAGTGCCGAATGGGACCCAAAAAGGGACTCCGAGGCCGTGAAAAAAAAAAATATATATATATATATACTTGAATTGAGTATATTTTCTACCAGAATCAAGGATATACATGAATCTGATTCAAGAACAAAATATATTCAAGTATATTATTCATACTTTAAAAAAATACTTGAATTCGCTACGCAATTCTATTGAATTTCAATTAATGTTTTTATTAGTCGTTGGCCGATTCTATTGAAATGTTCAAAAGACTGATATTCTAGAGAAAAAGTCAATAGAATTCGTTTTTTTATACAATTCACTCTATTGAGATATTTTCCGTAGAATTTCCTCGGCTCAATTTTTTCAAGTTTTTTTGTTTGGTTTTCTTGATGAAGAGAAAATGAAAATTTAATTTAAAAAACTCGAATTTTCTTAAATTTTTATTAAAAAATATTTCAATAGAAGAAGTTGTACAGAAGAATCGAACTCTACTGACTTCTTCTATAGAATATTTTCTATTGAAAATATCAATAGAATCAGTTAGAAACTAATAAAAAGTTCAATAGAAGTTGAACAGAATTCTAGGTTCAGGTTTCTGCGCTAGGTTTTTCAATTATATTTCTTCGTGCGTGAATGAAAACGATCAGGTTTATTTTTCCAAATAAATTTTATTTATCCAAGTAAACTTTGATATATTTTTGTAACTCATCTGTCCCCCCCTTGCTATGAGGAAAGTCTCCAAAAGCATTCAAATAAACCCGTTGAGTTGATTGAAATAAAGTTTATGTAATTCAAATGAACGAATGAATGAATGAATGAATGGACGAACGAATGAATGAATGAACGAATGAACGAATGAATGAATGAATGAATGAATGAATGAATGAACGAATGAATGAATGAATGAATGAATGAATGAACGAATTATGATTTCTCTTGGTGCAGGTCTGGTTGGCCTTGTTAAAAAATCGAAATCGCCCCCCCCATATGTAGGGGAGGGTAGGGTAAAACGGACCCCTAGGGCAAAACGGACCACCGACAGAAAATTGGTAATTTTTGTTTTTGCTTCCGAATGGAACAAATTCGAAGTCATTTGTGGTTTGAGGTGATTAGCAAATCTGATCAAATTGCTGTTCACCGACACTTGTCTATAAAACCCCTGTGACGCTTATGATCCAAGAAACTCACTTTTAATTCAACACATTCAGTGTTCCTGATTTGAAGGAAAGAAAAAAAAAATTACCAATTTTCGGTCAGTGATCCGTTTTGCCCTAGGGGCCCGTTTTGCCCTACTCACCCCTATGAAAAAATTCAATAGAAAACCTTAGCGAATTCGCTGGAAAATTCTATTGGAATTCTCTAGAAATACTATGAGGATTCTATTAAAGTTCTGGAGAATTCTCGTTAAATTTCGATTTGTTTTTTGTGCAGATTCTGAGATATTTGACAGGAAAAAGTAAATAGATTTCGATTGTTCTGTTTGAATGTTTCTTTTGAGGTTTTTTTAAAGGATGTTTATCCAAAATCGCACGTATTTAAAAAAAAAGTGTTTTTTTTTTAAACTGATAGATGAAGACATTCCCTTCACTTTGATATAAATTTTGATCTACCATAACCCATGTTCATTGTTTAGAAATGAAATAGACAAAATGCATCAAATGCATGCGCTCACATGCGCTTATATGGGATAGAATCATTCAAATATTTGCTCTTTTTAGAAAAAATTGGAAGAAAATATTCATTCATCATGTAGAAAAATCGAAATCTATTGGCTTTTTCCGAGCAAATATCTCATAGTATCAGCGCGAAAAACAAATAGAATTTTAACGAGAATTCTCTACAATTTTAATAGAATCCCCACAGAATTTGTAGAGAATTCCAATAGAATTCGATAAGCTTTCTATTGAATTTTGTCATACGTGAACCGCTAAGGTATGATACAAGCAGGTATGATGAAGCCAGAAAACAGGGGACAAGTTCGCCGGAGCGCCAGAAGCGGCGTTCCGGTCGACTTACGCTTCCCC